CACTTCCTGCCATAAAGCCCCAGTATTTGGAATGAGCTGACCTTGGCAACTGTGTGTGTGTGTGTGTGGTGTGTGTGGTGCGTGTGTAAAAAAATGCAAAGGTTCGTTTCATTACGAATGAAATCTTTTATTCGCAAAAAAAACCGAAACACAAATGGGGCTGCACAAGCCACATTTAGTGTTTCCCTTCCAGAAGCGTAGCAACGTTTGCACCGCACCTTTCTCGTGCTGGAAGGACATCTCAAAGGGCTGCACGCTGTCGGCTGGCCGACTGAGCCGGGGGGTGGGAGTCCAGAACAGTGGGGTGGGATGGTGGAAGGTGGGGGAGGGGAAAAGATGACCGGAAGCGCGGTCAAAGGGTGAGGTCTTGATGTGCCTCGAAAGAGAGGAGGGAAGGGGGCGCGAGCCGGAGGGACTCCAAAAATGGAACTCCAGAGAGCGGGGGCAAAATGGCGATGGTGTGGCAGATGGGATGGGATGGAATGGGGGGGGTGGGACATGAAGCAAGCCGGTGTTTGCCCTGCTCAGGGAATGGACAGGTCAAGAGGTTGCAGAGGAGGGAGGGGAGGGGGAGTGGAATGAAGGATGTAGAGAAGTTTTCACTTCTGCGAGGAAACTGTGCAGCACGTCACTCGGTGTCTGTCCTCGCTACCCACCCCCCCACCCCACCACCGCCGCCTCCATGCAGGGCAAGGGCAGTGCCGATTGTGAACCACAAAACACTGCCCTCAATTCTCCTCTCTGCCCCCCCACACTCCCTCTCTCTCCCCCTGCCCCCCACCCATCCCCCAATCGCTCTCACTCCTAATCAGCCACGCAAGTCACTACCTGCAGCGGTAGGAGCCAGCGGTCGCTGAGGACATGGTGGATAAGGAGACGCACTTGGCTTCCTGGCAGATTGCGGCAACGGCCGGTATTGTTTTCACTCTCCACGCCACGTCCTCCCGGCCGCCAGCTCCTGCCGCCGCCGCAGGGAGAACTTCCGATCCCCAGGGGAGAGAGGGAGCAGAAGTAGGAACGTTGTAAATGGTCTCGGGCCGGGTAAAATCATCCAGCGGGCCGGATGTGGCCCGTGGGCTACCAGTTGCGCCACACCGATCGAGGCGACACTCCTATGCCATGCTGGGCGAGTGCTGCTATAACGGAGATGCTGTCTTTTGGATTAGCCGTTAAGCTCGAGCCCCACCTGCGCGTTCGGGTGGATTGGTAAAGATCCCATGGCGCTATTTGAAAGGAGAAGGGCGTGTCTCCCAGGCTCTCGGCCAACAGTCCTCCAGCTAAATTTGGTCATTCGCTTCAGAGCTGTTTATGGAAGAACGCCGCGCACAAATTGGATGCCACGTTTGCCTACAGCTACCCAGTCGCTCCATTTGGCAAGAAGTTCCCCGTGAAGAGCTTTGACGGCGTAGATGCCGTAATCAAATGCACGATTTCTTATTCGAGGCACGATGCGTGATATGGGAGTAACAAAGAAAACTGAGACTACGGAAATTCGCGTCTGCATTTTTGCTGATCAGATCTGTGTTACTTTGCATCTCAGTGTGTAGCAGCCAAGCCATTAGTGAAAAGGGGAGAAACACTGCATTTTAAGCATTAATCAGAGTGATGCAATTATATTTGTGTCACAGATATATATATGGTATACACTCTATTTAGCACCTGATGTTTGCACTATACTCATGTTCAATGCTAATCATCGTTGTCCTATATCAGGGTCAGGATGCATCTCGGAAGTGGTTATTGGCCATGAAGTGCTTACTGAGTAGCACATGATTGATCATAATACCCAAACAGCCTGACCTTTATGGCCAATCAATGTGGCCTTTAACAGTGACATTTTGGTGATCTGAAGGCAGTCTTTTGTTGTCAGAGATCAGACGCTGATGTGTTTGAAGTTGGCAATGCTCCTAATGTGCTTCCTTTGAACTTCTTAGGCCTCTTTGTGTTGAATTACTAACTCTTTGGAAACACACCTGGGCAAACCTGTTGGCTGTTCTCTGGTTGATTTTTTTTGGGCGGGTTGGGGGGGGAGGGGGGGAAATAAAATAAATTGAGGCTGTGCCGATAGGCTTTCTTTTGACAATTGACTAATCGATCAATTTCTGAAATCATTCATTCTTTAGATGTGTTAAAGCAGCGTGCAAGGTCAATGTGCGCACAGTTCCAAACCCTCCTTTCCGCAGAATAACTTCCATTTTGTTGAAAAACAAAGTTAGAAAAATAAAACTGGAATCACGAGAACCTCTTGCAAAGTGGGCTCTCAGCGTAGAATTCAGAATACTGTCCTATACGGTGTCTGTACCAACAGGCCAAGTAATGACGGACGATTGAAATTTTCACTGCTAAATATACTGTAAGATTCCTTCTGAACACAAGATATTTTAAGGCATTTCAGCTGCAGCATTCTCGCGTTGTTCGCTTAGCAATTCAAGTGCTGCAAAAATATGCAAGGTTTTGAATGAGACAGAATAGTTGAAAAGGGATCAGGAATCCAGAAGGCGATGTCAGCTGCCAAGAATGGATGTGCTCTTTAAAAGCTTCCCATAATACTGCAGATGGAAAGAGAGCGCGTTTCTCTGAAAACTGATACTATATCAACAGAACGAATGGGCTTTGTTCAAGCAGGAAGTGGGAGACATACCTCATACATACCTCTAGCATCCCAATTCTCTTGCAGAACCTCTCTGGGCAGCTCTTCCTGCCTTTGAAAAAGACTTCGTCTGTTTTCCCTGTAGTGAATCATCCACGCGACACTTTAAAGAAACACTCTCAATGTTAAATCTCCTGATTCCACATCCACGTACACAAATCACTAAAAACGAGCTCACAGGCACAAAAAGTTATCATAACGGCTGATGGGATGTTGGCCTTTATCTCAAGGGGTGGGGGGGCTGGAATATAAAGGAGAGGAAATGATGCTTCAACTGTCTGGAGCCTTGGTCAGACCCCATCTGCAGTACAGGGTTCAGTTTCGGGCACCGCACTTCAGGAAGGATATATTGGCTCTGGAGGGGGTGCAACACAGATTCACCAGGATGACACCAGGCCTTAAAGGGTTAAACTACGAGGACAGTGTTGCATAAACTTGGTCTGTATTCCCTTGAGTTTAGAAGGTTGAAGGGTGATCTAATTGAGGTTCTTATCATAAATTCACAACTCTGCCGCCCGCATACTGACCCGGACCAAACTCCGTCCCCACATCTCACCAGCTCTGGCCCAGGCTCCACTGGCTCCCCATCACTGAACACATCGACTTCAAGATCCTCTCACTCTCGTGTTCAAATCCCTTCACTCCCTGGCCCCTCCCTCCCTCCCTCCCCGACCTCCTCACTCCCCAATCCACCACCCGGCGCCTCCACTCGACTGGCCCCGGCTCCCGCTTGTCCCTCGCACCCTCCGCCCCATCACCGGTGGTTGTGCCCTTAAGCCACTACGCCCCGAAACTCTGGAACGCTCTCCCTCAATCCCTCCGCCTCCCCATTTTCAAGTCCTGCCTGAAAACGTTCCTTTTCGACCGGACACCCCCCTCACCCCCCACCGGCTCACAGTCAGGCTCCGTCACTGTTAAGCTCTGAGACACTGCCCTGCGTGGAGGGCGCCATATAAGTGCGAGCTGTCGTCGTTGTTAAAATAATAAAGGGATTCGATAGCGTAGATACAGAGAAACTATTTCCTCTGGTGGGGGAATCAGGAACACGGGGGGCAAAATCTTAAAATTAGAGTTACGCCATTTAGGAGTGAAATCAGGAGACAGTTTTTCACCCAAAGGTCAGTGGAAATCTGGAACTCTCTCCCCCAGAAGACTGTGGATGCTGGATCCATTCAGACTGAGATGGATAGATATTTGTTAGGTCGGGGTATCAAGGGATATGGGAATGATGGAACAGGCTCGAGGGGCTGAATGGCCTACTCCTGTTCCTATGCGTCTATGATTCCAACCGACTGAGCTATTTATTGGTGATGTTCCTGTCCTCTGTGTAACACAGCATTGCAGTATTTTTACCACAGCGGCTGATTTGCTACAATCAAATCTATTTGTTGTTTTAGCTGCAAATTTTGTTTTGCAAATGTCAGCAGTGCGGAAATGTTCAAATTGCAATTGAGCTCAATCCCAAACCCGAAAGCCAACATAGTCCAAAACATGACAAGTGAGACATTAGGTTGAGGCACCAATAGAACCGGTGCCTGGACAAATGAACGGTAATCTTGTTTATAAAGAAAATTGACACTTTTAATAATGAAAATAATAATAATAATCTTTGCATTTGACATAGCGCCTTATCACATCGTCGAGACATCTCAAAGCGCTTCACAGAATTGTATTGTAAAGTGGATTGACTGTGTATTTTGTGGGCCAAACCACCCATGAAACCTACAGCTAAAAGCTTTATCATGAAACCTCATCATCAAAGGCTTCAGAAAACAAACCTTACTTTGGAGTTTCTTCTGCTCCGCTCACTAATATAGCAAATTATTCGATATGACCTTATGATGGAGCATTGAAAGATTCATTCCACTTAATGAGCACAGCAGATTAGCTCCCCCGCACCCCATTGTATTTAATATACAATTTTAAACCAGTAGTTTACTCTGTCCTGAGTTTAAATACAGAGGCCCAAATTCCATTCAAACTTCCATCCTGAAAGACCATTTTGTCTCAAATTTAAGATGGTGTAGAATTGTGAACAATTCTTAAAGTCAGTCTTAATTTGAACGCTAGCTAATTTGGAAGCCAGTTTCTTTTTAAAAAAAACTACCTCCCAAATAATATTAATACATTTCGCATTGGAAAAAGCCACATCACGTCACTGAAACATCTAAAAGCTCTTCACAGATATTACTACTGAGTGTAGTGACTGTATTTTTCGATGAAGGTGATTGCAATTTACAAGCAATAATGTCCCACCCAACATGCATGAAGTGAATGACTGATTGCATCTGGGGGATTGTTGGCCAGGACACTGGAAGAAACTCTTTTCTCTTTTTGAATAGTGCCAAGGAATCCTTAGCATCCACCTGAACAGGCAGATGGGACCTTGGTTTAACGTCTTAGCTGATGAACGGCACCTCTAACGATGCACTGCTCGTCCAGTATTGCACTGGAGTGTCAAATTAACACTGAGTTGAATCAGTGACAAAAATTCTGCACTCTCTTACATTTTAACACAAAATGCGATTACAGGCGAAGACCATGTGACATTTCAGGCCAACAATTATCAGTGATTGTTTGGTTTTTCAGTGTGGAAAAATATTTCAGGAATTCTGGAACAGCCTAAAGAAATATCAGAGCTTCCTGATGGCTCCAGTAGTGTGTCTCAGACTCGCACAAATTGGGAAGGTCTCACATTTCATTGTAGATCTGGACTATGTTTTCTGGTCACTGCTGGGAAGAGAAACTACATTTTTTTTGAAAGAACAGTTCAAAATGTGAGTTTCATGCGCATGGAAATCATAATCGTACAATTTAATTTCTCACCAGTATGAGCCCAAGTTATCATTGTATCCTTGAGACTTGAGATGTCTCGACGACGTGATTTGGCGCTGTACCAAATGCAAGGATTATTATGCCTTTGACCGGCATCCAACACAATGTTCTCATAGGCTGTGCAGTCCACTTTGCTGCTGGTAGTTGGTGTAAAACTCGATGAGCTTCTCAGGAATCCTCGGAGTCACAATTTTAAGTGACTGAACAAAATGCCTTTCCATAACACTCTGGGCCTGGAGATTTTCCTGAAGAGCCAAAAGGGCAGCTTCTCTGCAAAGGGCAACGATCTGAAAGGGAACCACAAGAAATACAGAAATATTTAAAGGGGAAACAATGGCTCAGGAACTCTCTGTTAAGGCCTTTTAGCCACTACTCCTCCTGAACAGCTCTATATAAATGCAAGTTGTTGTTAACTGGACTGGAAGGATTTGAGTGCACTTATACAGCCTGATTAATACCCTGTAAACAACAACTCAGAACTGAGGCAGCCTTGGATTTTGTTTGTGATTTTTGAAGAGAACAACTTTTCGGGAAGACGAGTTGGGACTATCGCTCTCGTTTATTCCTATGGCCGCCCCCCTATAGTCACCCTTTCACTGTCTTCAAACTAAACCAGCACCAAGCTTGACAGTGGCAAAATCAGAGGATGTGGCTTTAAGACTTTGAGGAATACAAACCCTGAAATCTGCCTGTAAAACCCTGCCAGCTATTGGCATTTGGAACCAGATGACCGTCAGTTGCATTTCAAGAGACAGATCACTACTGTGGAAGCCCTCTCACAATGAAAGGGACATTGTGATGGGGTGGAGAGGGGGTGTGGTGGAGGGGGAACGAACAAGAAGTTGTATTCAATATGCCTTGTGTCTGGGATAATGATAAAAGGCTGCTGGAACGTACTTGCACAGCCATTACACATATTTCTTAAGCGCCTGTTCATTGATTGGCTTTTGTGGAGCTTGCCGTTCGGCCGCTTTCTAGAGGACGCGGTTGCAATGGTGCGTGGGTGAGATTAAAAAAACGCACAAGGCTTTGGATCATTTCATCTTGTTCTAAGAGTCAGCGAGAGCCCAGCGGAAGCTGCTTATGTACTGTACTTCAGTTGACTGCAAACATTGTTTCTCCCCCCCACTCCCAATACCCCCCCCCTCACACACACACACACACACGCGCGCACACAGTCCAAAAGAAAATTCCAGTAGAGAGCATTCAGCACGATTCTCAACGGGGGAGAATGAAAGGCTCGCAGGAATGAGATTCTTTCGGAAGAACATCATTTGTGCCACAGTGCCTGGATTATCCTTCCGAGCAGTCCAACTGAGTGTTCCGTTTTACATCTGCCAGTTACTAAAAACACTGGCGTGCCAGGGAGACCGAGCTGAATTGCTCTCGAATGAAGAAGTCAATTCAAACGCGGCTTCCGCTCGTCAGGAGTGCACAAGGCGATAAGTGTCCGTCTTAAGTGACCCACACGGCCGCCAAAGGTGCAACTTCAGAAAACTTGGATACATTTCCCAGTGTGTTTCTCAGCTAAAGCCTAAATTATACATCTCGCTCCCGTCCCCTCATTTTAGTCTGTTCTATTGCCCCCCTTGTTGTATTGTCCTTGACCACACGCCAATACCTAACCTCAAACCTGCACGGCACAGATTGTCGTACCCTTTATGCTGTGGCAAGCAATGTGAGCCCGTGCTCACTGGGACAGCGAGCGATGCCGTGTGCTTCTGTGAAAGTACAGATCCTACAGATGGCCGGGCAGAGCAGCAGACTGGCCTGGGTGCGATGGCAACCCAGCGACAACCAGATCTCGCTGAGTCACAAGAGTTTTGGGATGCGGAAAAATGCTTCACCCAGGGAAGGAAAGATCTCTGAGTCAGTCACGCTGGGCTGGGCCTAGACCTTTCCCAGCAGTTGATGACAGATTGGCGCCGACAGGCCCAAGAGTCTTTTCTTTCCTTGCTCCAATTTGCTGGCCCTTAGTCCGCTCTCCTCAAGGAGTCGGCTCTTGCTGCACACGTAAGGCCAGACAGTGAGCGTTTGGAGGTTATTTGACCGCGAAGGGCAAAGGAACCCCACCTAACTCTGTCGTCACCCATCACATCTCCAGCGTCTCTGAGGGAGAGGTCATTTAACAAAACAGTTGTCTTGAATGAACAGAGACTGAAGAGACTTCAGAGATCAGGAGCAGGAAGCCTGGCTGCTGTTTTTCTGTCTAAGGCAGGAGGCTCTGAGGCCAACGGCAACACCCCTCCTCCCCCCCACCTCCACCCCCAGCAGTGATCAGCGAACTCACAGAAGACCTGGCATCTCCCTGGTCTGCAATGACTCAGTTCCATACTAGAATGTGTCATTTGGATGTGGCCGAGGCCAGCAGAGCGAGTTCCTTTCTCTCGTCCTTTACAGAAGCTGACATCCCAAGTCCCTTTGATTTCTGAAACTGTTTTATTTTCAGCGCAGCTTTTGATGTGCACCAGGTTACATTCGTGAGCGCGTGTAGAACGGTAACACGAGGTGAACGTCAGCATCAGACACGTAGATTTTACGCGTAAATTGCTAATCAAAGATCGAAGGTGTTGAACGAGGATTAGTAAAAAGAAAACACTTGTTAGCGTTCCTGGACGCACTGCTGGCAGCTGGAGCTTTTTCCTGCAGCGCTGTCTATCCTCATTCCTTCGAAGCAAAGCAACCACGGAAATCAACTAAGTAACATTGTTTTTTTCTTGACAAGTACAGCAGGTGTCCCAACGACTTCCTGCAAGTGATAGCTCGGGCCAACCGTGTGCAGGAAAGGATTGTGTCGCAAGCCCTGAAATTCAACAGGAAGAAAGAATTTGGTGACTTTGGATGAAAGACTGTTCCTGTGCTGTCGCGCTCGGCGAGACTCGCGAGGTGAACCGAAGAGCTCGAAAACACACAACAGCAGCTTGGACCAAGGTTACTAAACATTCTGACTTGCCTCTAAGGGTCCTATTTATATCCATTGGCTCTCACTGGTTGTCAACTTACCAACACGCTCAACATCAGGGACACTCAACAACTGGCACAACTTGCACTCGTCTTAACGCGTTTCACGAAAGAGGTCTCAAAGCGCTTTACAGGGATACAGTGGGAGGCCGAGCTTGGGTGGGAGATGTGGGGGCCTAGGAGGAGGTGGCCAAAGGCTGGGTCACGGAGGGAAGTACTTAGATGGGTATTGAAAGCACAAGGATTTAGGGAGAGTGTTCCAGAGAGCTGGGCCACAGCTAACTAACTCAGGTTACTGCTGCTGATACCGTGACTCACTGTGGGTCCCATTCTATTATTTTTTCAGACACGTTTTACTTTTTTGTCTCTCCAAACCATTTTCTAAAAGGCGACTGGCTCGTGCTGGGGTAGGATATCACAGGTTTCCAGCAGCTCTCAGATCCTGCATTTAAGTGGACAAAACTTCGCTTGATGCGTGAGCTAGACTGAGCAGGGTTAGGAGCGAGGGCCAATGCGGTCAGTTTGGGTGGGTTCATGCCCAATTGGCTGAGTTTTTGTTGTACCGTGCGAGAAAAAAAAGCCTTAGATTCCAACTTAAACCTACAACATGTTTTTTTTTGCCCCCTTTGAAGATCTTTTCTTACACAGTTTCAAAAGCACTAACCTAAATTGGCCACTCGGCTACCGTGTACTAGGTGACCAATTTTATTTGGGGGATTGTTGTCCAGGACACGGGGAGAAAGTCCCTTCGCTTTTCAGGAGAAGGAATAAGGTGCTTTCAGGAAAGGGGGAGCGAGAGGAGAGAACTGGAGCAAAAAGCTTTGTGGAAGAAAGCCACTAAAACCCTTCTTGATGGATTAAGCGGAGGTGAGTATTTTTTTTTACTCAACTGCAGTGGTGAGAAGCATGAAAAGTTTTTAGGTTTTCTGAATCTTGTGCCTTAGCCACAAACAGATGTGAAGCGCAGATAAACCCAACCACAAATAACACAAGAACACCAGCGCCGATTAACAGAGGCCGGAGTTTCAGTCTAGCCGTCAAGCTGTGTATTGATAAACGGTGCGTTGGGGAAAGAACTGTACAGCCCTTTCTGACCTCAAAAATGCTACTCTCTCTGTTGCGCTGAATCCTTTAACTTGCTCATGCTCGGGAAAAAATAATCTAATTACCATACAATGCTGGTAGGAGGAAACAGAACTGAACGGGCTGAGTTGGGCACCGCTGTGTGAGAATGAGTGCAAATGTCACCTTGTCACTTATCGTTGCGGGAGACCAGCTCGCGTTTATCCAGATTAGTCTTAGGTGCTCGCCCAAATCCTGACGAAACCAACTGGAGGCATTTTGTTGAGCCATCCATTTCAGCAGCCTGTTCCACTACATGCCAGACGGTGATGTCGGCAACTGCCACTGTTCGGGGTGGCACATCTCGCTCATCCTACAACCAGGTGGGTGGGCAAAAGGGAGGGAGGAGAGCGATCACAGGCACGGAGAAGATAGCAGGCGGAAACCTCAGCTCTCAAAGCTCCCGCCTGCATCGCCTTTGTGAAAAAAAATGCGAGTCACACTGAATCCACCGGTTTGTGGGACATTGTGGTGCTGCGCGAAACACGACACAAGGAGGAAGGAGGGGGTTCTGAAGAGCGACGAGGAGCAGGAACACCGACTGCTTTCCTCCTCCCTGACCCTGGGGAAGCCGGGGTCAATTCCCCCTCATCTGAGACGAATGAATTCAGTACGATAAGCAGCAGCTCCAACCCCTACACTTTCAAGACATGGTCGGGGATGCCCACTCATTTTATTCCCTTGGCCGTCCCAAGACCTTCCTCTTGGACCGTGCCTTTGGCCACCCTCCTGCCCCCCCCACCACCGCCCTCCACCCTCCCTGATCCCGACCCCCAGCTCGGTTCCAAAACACTGATTGTCCAGCTCCCTGGGACTTCCGTCCAACATGAAAGCCGCTACACACGTCATTTCGTCTTCGTCGTTATCACCAGCAAACACAGAGCAATTTCCACACCCACATCCAGTTTAACACACTTAAATGGTAAAGCTATGGCTGTTGATGCTGTAACCCCCCCCCCACACACACACAGGGAGCAGGGGGCATGAAAGTTGAATCCAATGCACACCAGTGGCTACAGTGCAATCTTTCCAATGGGATTTCCCATCATAAAGATTTAGCAATCAGCGTACAGAGTCCACTCCATGTAGTGGAGTCCTGTAGCTCAGTGGTTAAGGCACTCGCCTCGCAAGCGAGAGACCTGGGTTCGATTCCCAGGGCAGGGGGCGAAACGTTGGGCAAGTTTCCTTACTCCCCGCGCCTCTG